GGAGGAGGGTCAGAGGGAGAAGCAGACTCCCTGCCGAGCAGGGAGCCCGATGTGGGACTCGATCCCGTGACTCCAGGATCATGACCTGAGCCAAAGGCAGTCGCTTAACCAACTGAGCCACCCAGGCGCCCGCCTAATACATCTTAAAATGTCATAATTTCAACATGCAAGGAAGATAAAAGTTGTTTATGAAGTATTTTACTTTTTTTTTTTTTCCATTCTAAGTACTTGATATTTTGGGATGCATTTTATACTTACAGTCACATCTCAGTTCAGACTAGCTACATTCCAAATGCTTACTAGCCACGTGTGGCTAGTGACTACTATGTTGGAAAATGCAATCTTGGATTGAAAGATTTGGAAGGCAAACTACTACGTCTCCACCTCTATTTTACAGAGAAGGAAATCAAGGCACAGAAGGAGGAAGTGACTTGTTCAGGGTCATGCACTGTCATGGGTTGAGTGGTGCCCCTCCACAAAAAAGATATGTCCGTGTCCTAATTCCTGGAACTTTTGAATATTATCTTATTTGGAAAAAAGTTTCTTTGCAGATGTAATTAAGTTAAGGATTTTGAGATGAAGAGATCATCTCAGATTATTTGACTGAGCCCTAAATCCAATGAATAACCTGTGTCCTTGTAAGAGATACACAGAGGTGATTAGACAGAAGGGGGAAGAGAGGCACAGAGAAGTTCATGTGAAGATGGGGGTAAAAAAGGGGGTGGTGCGGCCACACGCCAAGGAATGCCGTCAGCCACTGGAACTTGGAAGAGGCAAGGAAGGATTCTTCTCTGAAGCCTCCAGAGGGAGTGGGGCCCTGTAGACATCTTGATTTCAGCCTTTTGGCCTCCAGAATTGTGAAAGAATACATTTCCATTTTTTTTAGCCCACCTGGTTTGTTAAAATTCATTATGGTACCCACAGGAAACTAATATATACAACAAGGTTGACACTTGGACTTAAGAGATCTTGGACTCCATTCCTGGCCAGAGGAACCTGCCTTTCCATTGCCTCTGAAATCTTTCGAGTGGCCAGCATTCATTCCTTTATTAGCAGAGTGGACCATGCGGGGCTGTGGTGACCTAGAGGGCCCATGACAAATCTGTAGGGACCTACTGTCCTTTATGTCCATGTGGCACCATATGCTGTCTTGTCACCATCTCTTGCCTCATCCACTTCAATGATCTCAACTGCTTCTCTGGCTTCTACTCTATCCCCTCTTCAATCTATTTTCCACATAGTATCTGGAGTAATCTTAAAAACAACAACAGTAACAAAGAAAAAAAAGCAAGCAAGTCATCAGGCCACTTCTCTGCTCTCAACTGTCCAATAGCCTCCTGTTCACTGGAATGAAATCCAAACTCCTTACAAGTATACAATGCCCTGCTACCTTTTTTATTTTTTTTACACTTTTATTTTTTTTTTTAAGATTTTATTCATTTACTTGACAGAGAGGGACACAGCGAGAGAAGGAACACAAGCAGGGGGAGTGGGAGAGGGAGAAGCAGGCTCCATGCTGAGCAAGGAGCCCAGTATGGGGCTCAATCCCAGGACCCTGGGACCATGACCCAGGACGAAGGCAGATGCTTAACGACTGAGCCACCCAGGCACCGCCAGGCACCCCTATTATTAGTAGCAGTTCTAAAATGACCTTGAGAATTGCTTCACTTTTTCAAATTTCTGTTTTCTCACATGTCAGATGGGAATTGTGACATTTTATCAATTCAATAAATATTTATTGAGCTCCTCCTGTGTGGCCCCCCAATTTTTGACACTCTTTCTAGTGAGACATAGGGTCTTTTTAATGAGACACTCTTTTTATTGGGCCATGAATATAGGCTCTGAGATTGCTTGACCACTAGCATAGGTCAGAAGTGACACTGTACCAGTTTCCAGAACTGTTATCTTCCACTTTTTATCTCCTGGAACACTCACTCTTGGAATTCAACCACCATGCTATGAGGAAGCTCAGGCTGCCATGGAGAGGCCCACATTCAAAGGAACCAAGACCCCAGTTCAAAGCCCTGGGTGAGCTCCCAACTGATAGCCAGCACCAACTTACCAACCATGTGAGTGAGCATCTTGAAAGCAGACCCTTCAGCTTCCAGTCAGGCTATCACTGCTGATGCCACATAGAATAGAGATGAGCTTTTATTTATATTACCCAGTTTTAACAATTAATTTATTTAATGTTATTTAAACTCTGTTCTTTAGAATAGAACTGTCTAAAGAAATATAATGTGAGCCACATATATAATTTTGTATTTTCTAGTAGCCACATTAAAAAAGTAA